ATATAGTTTTTCAAAGTCAAATTGGATCTTTGTACCCCATCCCACCTTTCAAACATTATACATGTTTATTTATTATATATGTATATGTATCATATTGCAGTAGTAATATATATTTTTATTTGTAAAAATTAAAAATACGTTTCTATGAATTGGGCTGACTTTTTAAGTTGCGTAGCTTTATAATAATGCAACCCAAATGGTTGTCTCTATGTGATGAATTTATTATTACAATTTTTAAAATACTGATGATATTCCATTGATTATTGATGATTTGAAAACATACTGCATTCTGCATTTCACTATATTATATCAATCTGCGTGACATCAAGATGTCCTAGAAATGTATCCATGTTGGAACTTCTGATATAAAGATTCTCAGCGTATAAGAATAATATAGTTTTTCATACTAATCTATAGAGAAGTCTCATTGGTTCTCATTTTTTTAAATATATGGAAGCATGTAAAAAAGCTAGTAATGAAGCAAAAAAAATATGAGTATGTCAGTCAGTCCATTATTTTACGAGTGGACGAATTGAATAATTAGGAAATTGCATGTATTCACTGATTTTTCTGTAATTGATGTAGCTCTATAAATAATATTTTTTTTTCTTGACATATTATCAGAGAGAAATTTTTTTGGAGAAGTTGATGCTCAACAAATGAGCAATTTTGATTTTTTCCGTGTAGATAAATATTTTAGAATATTTTTATTGACTCAAAATTTAGGTTGACACTCATACTTTTTGAATATTTGGAGAAAGTCACTTATGTACCATTACTTATTAAAGCTGTGGACGAACTTGAAATGAAAGAAATTCTCATATTTCAAACCAAGATAGATAATCTAATTTAGTGTCTGAACTTTTCATCTCTGCCTTTGGAATTTTAATACTTTATTCTACTCAATGTCTTATTAGTTACTGACTTACTTTGGATTCGATAAAAACTCGTTCGGCTACATAGTATTTTCGCGAAGACGTGGACTTTTTCATTTTATCACCGGATCATATTTCTCACATATACAAGAAACGTGCGCTAATATCTTTTGCTTATTTTTATATACCAGTGTTTGTGGAAATAAATTTAAGCAGGATGATCCTGTCATTCTCAGTTTATAAATTTTTGAGCTCGAAATCTAAATGCGGTTGCTTTAAAATTCCATCAATTATGCGATAACAAAAGTTTTTCTTCAACTATTTTTGCAATATTCTACAATGTCTTCTCGCACACATGAAATCAAATACCACTACTTCATTAATACATAAATAAATAGGGATTTACATATATGTATTTCTATATTTACCAATATATTTTTTTTCCAATATAACACAACTTTAGTTACGCTTTAGTTAATACACTTACTTTATTTCTTGCTATAACTTTTTGCGTGGGAGCTATTATTTCTCGATACAGTTGAATAGAAAATCTTATTTTCTACTCAATCAGTACTTCCTGATACACATGTATAGAAACTTGTAGGTATAATATTGTAGTAGTTATATCTATCTTCACTTGAAAAAAATAAAAATGTGTTTCTAATTGAAAGCAGCCCTTTTGGTTATGCAAAATGGCTTTTACTATCGGACAGACACCCACTTGTTTTCTATTCAATAAACTTTTTTCTATTTTCAAACTTTGTAGTGTATATTTATTTGTCTACTCTCCACATAGTTTTTGTAGGTTTTACTTCCAATCCCGACACAGAATTTTATTCGGTTACTATCGCATGTACAACCCCAGTTTGTTTTTTCATGATCAGTGTTCTCGTTATTGTAATTCTAATTATATTCGATTTAGCCTTAATATACTTCAAAATAAACAAATATAACAAATTATATCTCTACCAATATATTCCGAATTTATTGTCCATCAATAGGGAAGTAACACGTTGCGCAAGTAAAGCAATTACCTTTATTGGTTTCTTGAACTGATGGTCGTTAGTGTCACTTGAAGGATGTAAATGAATAATTAATTAACTCACCGTCTTATAAATTATATGTTTGGGGAATTGAACTATTTATTATCGTCCCAGATGGTATTGCTCTTTTAGTTTGATATAGTTCATGGACATTGGTTTATATACCTATCGACTAAATATACCTATGCCAAGGTATCATTAGTATAGTTTCAATTTATCTAATTACTATTTTTTAGCAATAGGGGAGACTCGGTACAGTTGTGACACTTTTTTATCAATAATAATTTTGTTATTATAACAGTCAGCTGGGAGAGAAATTTTGGTTAAATTAAATGGTAAATTTGTACTTAAATACGATGGATTTGTCATATTCAAGTCATACTAGAAAAGGGCGAGTGTCACAACCGTCCACACCCGAGGGGCGGTTGTAACCGGCAAAAAAATAGATAAAAAATAATAGCTATACACACGAAAATGAATTATAACGTTTTTTATTGTCAAAAATTTGTTACACGACATAGCATAATTAAAATAATCGACAAAGCTTTTAAAAGACAAAGCTAACAAAATATCTTTATCAATTTTTTTTTATTGAATTTTGCTTTCCCTTTCTTTTTCGTGGCTGATAGATATCATATTCTTTTTTAATGTTTTATTTATTGTCGTCAGCAACGTTTGAAAATTTAGAAAAAATAGAATTTGAATTTCGATAAAAACATTCTAAAATGAGAATTGAATTGAAGATAATTTATCGTATTTATAAGTGAAACGGCCTTTCAATTCCTTTTTCGTAACCAACGCAAGAAAAGGGCAGTATCGTGCATTTAAAAAAAATGAATAAAATTATTTCATTTGTCACTATATATATTCAATCTTTTTTCTTATCTTTTAAATAGTTTAGAAATAATTTAAATTACTTCACCTTTTATAGATAACGTACTTCGATATTTTTATAATCGGATAATCATTCTATATATAACTATGGTTATTATTCAAATTTTTTGTAAAATACAATATTAAGTGTGCAGACTTCTAAGATATAGACAAAACCTTAATGTATAGTGTTTTTTTTAACTTTTTTACAATTATCAAGTCTAGAAGAAACTAATATTGAATTTAGATTCAATAAATCATAGTTTTCTGGCGAGTTAGGACTTTGTTAAAAAAATAAAATACTATCTCTAGGTTTACAAAGATGCAAGATATTTAAATTTAATTGACATTAACCTTCAACTTTCGATATTCATCGTATAACTCATTCAATTCGCCTAAAACAAAACTGTATTCCCTATGAAAATTCCGTAACGCCAACGACGGATGCTATTTTCTATTCTTAGCACGAATTTCGTCTGCATCTCTTCGTACATAGAAAAGATCATGTCTCTAATACATGGAAAGCATTCGGACACATTTTCAAACCAACCGTGTACGAATTAATAGACGGGGGCTAGTTCAAATAGAAATTTACATTTTTCTCTTCGTACATAGAAAAGATCATGTCTCTAATACATGGAAAGCATTCGGACACATTTTCAAACCAACCGTGTACGAATTAATAGACGGGGGCTAGTTCAAATAGAAATTTACATTTTAAATTAAAATTTAAAGTATTGGACGTATTCCACGTTAATGTATTCAAAATGCGTTTTTAATAAGTCGTCTATATAATAGTACAGTTATATAGTAACATACAGTATAGTATATGTTGTATATATATATTTGTTTCAAAATCATATTCATGTTGATTATACGTTTCGATACTTGATGTGTGGCATCAAACAAAAACTTCCAGTATTTTAAAATTTCTAAAAGCGTTCATAGGAAGAATTTGATTCGATGAGTATTATGATTTTTTTTCGAATATTTTTGAAAATTTTGTAAGATTTAGATATTTTAGAAAAATTAGAAATAATATCGATTTTTTTGAAAATTCTGAAATTTTTTGAAAATATTTGATAATTTTGACTTTTTTTAGAAATTTGGATTTTTTTTAAAGTGTTTGATACTCATTTATATAGGTTGACCCATACTGTCCAAAATGTGGAGAATATTTGTTTGAACAATGTAAGTTAACTTTAAACATTATAAATCTTAATACGGAATCGATAAGAATTAAAACAAAATTGGTATTTATTATTAACAAAACAGCTGTCTCAATCTTTGCTAAAGGTTTTTAGGAGCACGTTTCTTCATCAGTAGAAATTAAATGCCTTAAAAAAAGTCGTATGTGTGTGTGTTTGTGTTCGGATTCAAATTTTCATCGACGATGGTAAGACGAATCCGATTGAATGATGCCAAGACCGATTTGAATGATTGTAAAAACATCCGATTCTCATTGATAAGGAGACGTGCTGATTAGTGTTTGACAAAGGCAGGTCCAGCTATTTGGAAGAAACGGGACAAAAAATGCCAAAAATGGTAATTAAGTTTTGAAAGAACGGAGCGTCCGATTTCAAAAAACATTTTACTTGTATTGACAAATTGAAGAACTGATTAATTTTGGGAAGGCAGGTCTAGCTGTTTTGGAGATCAAGTGAAAAAGTAAAAAAAAGTCATTTTGCGGTCGACATATTAGACATATGCACATCAAATTATCAGATATTTTATAGAGATTTTAGTAATCAACATTTCTATGGGTCCATATTAATGTTTATAAATTTTCAAAAAAATTCAAAATATGATAAAAATATTTTTTAAAAAAGTCTTTTTTTTTCAATAATTCCAAATTCTCAAAAATCTAATTTATACAAAATTCTGAACAAATTTTTAAGCTTTTTTAAAAATTCCAATCATAGGTTCGGAAAGTTCCATCAATTTGCCTTAAGGCACAATGCCATGAACTTTTAATTTACGTTTGTTCACAAAGTATGCATAAAATCATAATTTTTTTTCTAGAAATTTTGTACTTTGTGGCAATTTTATACTTTGTGTTTTTGTGTATCGCTACGCACAAGCTTACATATTAGTTGAGTAAAGTATACACTAGAGACCCGTCTATATTTTCGTTTAGTATATGTTTGTGTGCCGGCTGCTATTCACGATCGAGTTTAAAGTTAGACACCGACGTTTTGGACCGAATGCGAGGGGTGGGTCTCTATTAAAATTCGTCGTTCAAAAGTAAACGCGTTGACGGCAGTGTTACGTTGCTTATCTGTTTAGCGGCAGCCGATTAGTGGCGGCAAAAATGAGATTGTGCCTTCATTAAAATCGATATAGTTCAAGTTCTAAAGTTCTAAATATTAGTTATATATATACAATATGGATGATAAACAGCAATATGGTAAGGAGATTTTTTTTTTAAAAAAAAAGTTAATTTTATACTAATATTTGAAACAAATTGTTGTTTAATTTACTTACATGTGTGATATTCATAATAATCAGTTTGAGTATTTATAAGTAATTCACACACTTTACATTATTATGTTATATATTTTATAATTTTATCGGCATAGATTTTTTAGCATTTAGCGACTTTAACTATTTTTATTTTATATTATATTTTATTCAATGTCCTAAGTTTTATTGATTTTACATACTTCTTCATTTATAATTTTTTATATCCCAATCTGCATGATTTTTTTTATATTTCACGTTCAAATTTCATTAAAATGATTATTCATCTATATGTATCTGATATATTCATTATAACTACAATTATATTAGTGTAACTTCTTTAGTATTTTCAATCAGATTTTCATAAAATGTATCGGGAATTGATCTCCGTCGTGCTTTAAAATATAATAGTTTCTACTTACTTTTTCATTTTATATTGGGATATATATTTTATATCCCAATCTGTATAAAGTTCTTCATACGTTCAAATTTTAAGAAAATCGATGCATCTATATATATATATATATATATATATATATATATATATATATATATATATATATATCTGATATATTTTTTATAAATACAATTATATTATATCTTTAGTATTTTTAATCAGATTTTCATAAAATGAACCGGGAATTGATCTTCGTCGAGCTTTAAAATATAATGGTTTCTAATTATTTCTTCCTTTTACAAATTCTTTATATGCCAATCTGTATCAATTTTTTTTATATTTTAAGATAATGATTATGCATCTATATGTATCTGATATATTTATTATAACTACAATTACAATAGTATAAAATCTTTAATATTTATTTAATTGATATCCGTCGACCTTTAAAATATAATGATTTTTACTTACTTTTTCATTTCCTATATTTTTTATCCCAATCTGTATGAAATTTTTAATACGTTAAAATTTTAACAAAATGAATGCATCTATATGTATCTGATATATTCATTATAAGTGCAATTGTATTAGTTATATTTTTAATATTTTCAATCGGAATTTTATGCAAAAACCTAGGTTCGAACTCGATGGCTCGTTGTTGTGATTATACCCATGCACGCAATATGGTAAATTAATAATTTTTTAAATGTTCAAGTTTACAATAGTTTATTAAATCACATTATCTACATATTTCAATAAAGACGATGATGATTTTTTATACATTGCTGAAAAAGTTTATTAATCACCATTTACTCATTATTTACATAGGTGCCCTAAAGAATTTGCATTATGCCAAATACCGTATTTAACTTTTCAAGAACGTTATTTGGAAAAGATCTGCCATAAATAAAAGCTACTATTCTACTACATAATTTGCATGTATTTAATACGAATTTCACATGTGTAGTTTTAAATTGGTTTAATCTTCAACATATAAGATTGACTCAAGATTGATTAAAATTATTTTTTCAAATTTTGTACCAGCAACATGTAGCTATGTGTTGTATCTACGACATGTTTGTGACTAACATTTTTAGCATTTTTTGCATCTTGTTATTTATAAAATGCTTATTTATAAAGTGTGTTATAACGCTTTATTTAATCATATTGTTATGCATGTAAAGTACAATATATTCATACGATGTTGGCGTTCATCCATGTTTTATGCCAGGCAATTTATATCATTATTTGCCAGACGTATGTGACATTAATTTATTAAGTGATTCGTGTTGTACCTTTCATTTAAGATGTTTGCACAAACTAAAACTAATTAAATTATTGGTTCCGATATTTGCGATACTAATAATGTAATGCAACATATCAAATGTGATACACATCTGCAAATTTCTGCAAAGATGTCATTTATAAAAAATATGATGAATACTTTTTGGGAATCAAATGTTTATGAAATATAATCTGGTCAAGCTTTTTTGAATATTGTTCACGAATCGAATAATACAGATTTAATGCACAGGTTTTTAAATATTTTAAGGGCTTTGGTAGCCGGTGAAAATGTATCTATATCGAGCATTATTTTAAAATCTCTATCGATGTTATTTTTCTAACAATTCAGTCAAACATATATACAATTTAATATAATTCTGTTTGAAAATGGGACATTTTGGTAACAAAGTTTTTTGCATCAACTTTATGAAACATGCGAAAAACTGGAAAATTAACATAATTTAACATCATCAGATGCAAATTATGATTCACATTTTTAAAGTTATGTTAAAGATATGTTAGTTTTTGCGAAAAGCAAATCTGTTTCTTCCTTTTGGAAATTCCGAGAAAAATAATTTAATATAAATATTTATAAAAATACTTTATAGAAATTTTTTATTCAAAAATGGCAAAAAATCAGAAATTTTAAATTGTCCCAAAATAGAAAATAAGTATAAACTTTATTTGAATAATCATTTGTACACACCGTCAGAGTATGTATACATGCTCGTTTTTCTAATATATTTTCTTTATTTTTAAATACAGTCAGTTATGATTGACATGTTTTATTATACCTATATGAATTTTACATTTAATTATAATAGCATACAGGATAAACATGAATAGTAGATACTCATGAGTAACACATTTGGTAGGCCTCAATGGGCCGATTAGCGAGGGTATGTTAGATAGCGTTCTTCATATAAAGTGGTACTAAAAACTGTCAAAATTCTATGTGGTTACGAATGTTAAAAAAAACATAAGTGCATCATTGTGATGTGCCATAATAATATACTATTGTATTTCACGGTATATACAGTGCTGGATTTACAGTAGGGGCAGTCGGGGCTACTGCCCAGGGCGGCAAATTTTCGGGGGCGGCAAAATTTGGATAGTGAAAAAAATTCTGTATAATATAATTAACTCATTTTTTTAATAACATTGTTTATTCAAGAAATATAATTAATAAAACATAATAGCAATTTTGCTAATAAAAAGATTCATAAACGAGCTGAAAGTTGAAGAAAAATATGTCCTTCAGATCTCGAGCACTCTTAAGATGACGAATTTGTGCACTTTCAAGCTCATAGCTCAAAAAAAAAAAATTAAACTAGTGACGCATGGCATTGTGCTTTAAGGTAAGTTACCGAAACTTTCCGTGCTGAAAATTACATTTTATAAAAAGCTTTAAAATTTTTTGAAAAATAAAAAAAAATAATTTAAAAAACCTTTTTTTATATTTTGAGTGTTTTCGAAAATTATGAACTTTTATTTATTGAATTATTGGCCAAGGCAAGTACAACTTTTTCGAAAATACTGGCCGAAATGCTAAAAATGATAATTCAGTTTTTGAGAAACAGTACGTCCACTATCATTAAAAATGAAATGACAAAATGAAGAACTGCTTAAATTTGTGGGAGGCAATTCTAGCGGTTTCGGTGATCCAATAAAAAAAATTCGAGATTTGAAAAAACATTTGGCGGTCAAAAGTGATCATTAGACAAAGGAACATTAAATTATCAGATATTTTAATAATAAGTATAAATTTTGTTTACATTTCTATGAGTTCTGTAACATTGTTTATCCGTTTACTGCGACGCGGCGCTTACGCACTTCTATATTTTGACTCTACGCGGTCAAAGCAGCATGATCGCTTTAAAAAAAATATGAAAAACTCAAATTTTTCAAAAAAGTCAATTTTTTTCAAAGTTTTAAATATTTGAACTTTTTTTAATTTTAATTTTCGGTACGGGAAGTTTCAGCAATTTGCCTTAAGGCGCGATGCCAAACACCTCTATTTATAGTATGTGATGCGTAATGAATTTTAAATGAATTTAAAATGAATTTTTATATAAAAACCATTTAAGTAAAAATCCTCGGATGGGGCGGCGTTTTTGTCAGTGCCCCAGGGTGCCAAATTTCTAAATCCGGCCCTGGGTATATATATATATATATATATATATATATATATATATACAAAAATAACCCCAAGTAGAATTGAATAGTAATAAAATGAGAGATGCATTCGAATCCTCCAAACACAAAGTAATGCATAAATAAAAGAAAACATTAATGGTCATGTCGCGCGTTACGACAAAATTTAAGCCGGGAATAACACGTCAAGCCCATGAAAATAGATCGCGGTGAAAGTATAAATAAAACATAAGTCGCTCGTAAAGCGTACCGACTGTTTGCTCACCGAATTCCTCGTTTGTGATTATTTTACGGGGGAAATTATTGAAAAATTAATAACGACTGCATTATGTCGGCGAAGCTTTTCCCTGATCGATAAATGCAGACAGAAAATTCACAGTAATGCGCTGTGGGATTCAATGAAACGCATACATAATTTTTCCGTAATGGTGACTCATAACCCTTATAATAAATGAGATTGGATGTATTTGCCCCCTATGGGGTAAATGGGGATAGACGAATAATTGAATAAAAAGCAATTTAATATTTTTTTATATTTAGGCACTAACTGAGAATTTTTTTTGAGCATATTTCAATAGTCTGTGGTTTTGATATGTCGTATGTATGTTGTTTGGTTTTCACAGTATATTTATTGAAAGTCTGTTAATAACGAGCTGTAATATTTCGTGGTTGATTGTTATGCTGTATTATATTTTATTCATATTTTGAATTGCAAAGAGGTATTATAAGATCTTCAGATATCATTCAAGCAAAAAAACTGACTAACATGTTTCATCTTCAAATTTATTGCTTTTTTCAATTTTCTGGGCATATATAATTACTTATATTCTACATATAAACTTACCATAAATATCCAACTTAGTGAAATCTTTATGTTCAAGCTAGTCACTGGAGTCTTAAAGTACAATCCTATATTTAACTAGTGTTCATATAACATTTCGAGAGATTTAACTTTTTTTTTGAAACATTTGTTGAACAAGTTTCACACGTATTTTATTAAACTTTTGGAATATTGTTTTTAATAAACAAATTCTTATTAATATTGTTATAATTTATATATTGAATGGAAAATTCACTATTGATTAATTTTTTATAATTATTAATATAAGCTAATACAACTTTCAATTATAATACGTCTTTTATACATATGCTTATACATTTGCTAAATGTCCTAAATTTGACAGTATATGATGATAAAAAAATATTTCTAAAACTTTATGGGTTTCCTTTCAACATCCTTGCAGTGAAATTTTAGAATTTAAACATTTGATTCCTTTCTCAAGAATCATCATATTTACATTAAATTCCATAATTAGTATTTGCATACTAATTCTATTATCATATTTGTTTACTAATTGTATTATGCTATCCACTAATATAATCGTCCAATAAATAAAGTGCACTAATATATTATTGTAGAAGTAATATGATTATAGAAGTTGTAGTGTGTATTCTAAATATACGCATTCTCATCGGAATTGCCAAGGTCGATTTCTATGTATATATCCACAATCCTGTGTAATATTATACTACTTAAATTTTGTAAATATGCGTTGAGTAATTCTACATAAAATATTTTTGGAATTGGTGAACATGGTTGATTTATATGGTAATACATAAATATCAATGATTTTAGTATTGTGCTATATATGATATATATATATATATATATATATATATATATATATATATATATGATTGTGTGTGCTTATTTACATTACTTATAAGTACACTAGTAATTTGCTTTAAATAATGCTTAGTGTTGTATTTCTAATATGGTGATAAATATGGGGAAACAAATTGTTTAACTATCATATATGCTTACAAATTAACCTGAATGCTATTATTATCAACATCAAGACATTGCTTCTAACATCGTCATCTCAGGATTTCATTGGACGTGCTAACCACTAAATAATAACTATACAAGGATGATTATTAAGTTTGTTTATTTAATTATAGCGGTTGCGCCTGGCGCGCAGTCCTTCGACGAGACGCCACACCCGCCAATACCTTCCTGCGATCTCTACGATCGTCAATTCAGAGACCACACAGACGGTAATACCGAAGACGAAGAAGAGATGGATGCCGCCGAGAGGGAGTTAGCCGACGACGCACCATGGAAGAGAATTCAGCAAAATACTTTTACCCGTTGGGCCAATGAACACCTAAAAAACGCGGATCAATTTATTGAAACATTAGAATCTGATTTAAGCGACGGGCTTAAATTGATTGCATTAATTGAAGTTTTGTCAGGAAAAAAAGTGAAACGATATAACAAGAAACCCACTTTCAGATCCCAAAAATTAGAAAATGTTTCAGTTGCCATGAAATTTCTAGAAAATGAAGGAATACGGATAATCAATATTGATTCTACAGATATTGTCGATTGCAAGTTAAAATTGATACTTGGTTTAATATGGACTCTTATTTTGCATTATGCTATATCAATGCCCATGTGGGAAGATGAAGATGACATACCTCATACTGGCTCAGGTCCCACACCTAAACAACGGCTAATGCATTGGATCCAGAATAAGGTACCTGAATTACCTATTCAGAACTTCACTACTGATTGGAATGATGGTAGGGCGGTCGGCGCCTTGGTAGATGCGGTTGCTCCAGGTCTTTGTCCAAACTGGCAAGACTGGAATCCCAAGGAGGGAATCAAAAACGCCAAAGAAGCCATGGGTTTGGCTGATGATTGGCTGAATGTACCAAAATTGATAACACCCGAAGAAATGGTAAACCCTAATATTGATGAGCAGTCGATGATGACATATCTATCTCAATATCCCAATGCTAAGCTAAAGCCTGGAGCACCAGTAAAAGCCCAGCCAGCAGGCGGTAAAGTTCGAGTATATGGCCCTGGAGTAGAACCATCTGGTAACCTTGTTGGAGCTCCTACTAAATTTACTGTAGAAACATTCTCAGCTGGAAAAGGTCAGCTTGAGGTTCGCGTAGAAAATCCTAACGGTCAAATAATTCCTTCAGAAGTCAAATTTAATAATGATAGAAACATGACATATACAGTTACATACACCCCAAAACAAGAGGGTAAACATAAAATTATGGTGAAATATGCAGGAAATGAAGCACCCAGAAGTCCATTCTTTGTAAGTGTTGAAGGACAAGCAGGAGATCCTACGTTAGTAACTGCATCAGGTCCTGGGCTTTTACCTGATGGAGTTTTTGTTGGAAAACCAACATACTTTGACATATTTACTAAAAACGCAGGACCTGGTGTACCGGAGGTAATAATTTTGGATCAAGCCGGTAACAAAAATTCTGTTCAATGTAAAGTTAAACAAACTGCACCAGGTGTTTTCCGCTGTGAATACGTAGCTAGTACTGTTGGATTACATTCTGTTAATGTATTCTTCAGTGGACAACTAATTCCAAAAAGTCCTTTTGGAGTCAAGATCACTTCTGCATCCGACGCAAAGAAAGTTCGAGCAAGCGGCCGTGGCTTACAACCTCAAGGCGTTCGTGTTGGCGATGTTGCTGACTTTAAAATATTTACTGAAGGTGCCGGTGAAGGTCAACCTGATATTCGCATAATTGGGCCAGGAGGAATTAACGAGCCAGTTAAATTACAAAAAATGGATGCTACGACCTATTACGCTGCTTATTATCCTAAAAAGGAAGGTCGCTATATTGTAATGATTACTTATAAAGGCCAAGAAATTCAAAAGTCTCCATTTAATGTTAATGTTGGTCCCAAGAAAGAGACAGCCATTCGAGCTTTTGGGCCAGGTTTGAAAGGAGGTATGACTGGACATCCAGCTGTATTTACAGTTCAAACGAATGGAGAAACAGGTGCTTTGGGTTTCAGCATTGAAGGGCCTTCTCAAGCTACTATCGAATGCCATGACAATGGCGATGGTTCTGCTAATGTATCATATTTACCAACTGCGCCTGGTGAATATGCTGTGCATGTGCTGTGTGATAATGAAGATATTCCCGAAAGTCCTTATATTGCTCAAATTGTACCGAAAATAAATGAAGTTATGCCAGAAAAGGTGGAAGTTTATGGTCCAGGCGTTCAGCCAACAGGTATATTAAGAGGAAAACCAACAGAATTTACAGTAGATTCAAGAAAAGCTGGCAAGGCTCCATTGGAAGTTGAAATTATTGGAGCGAATTGTCAACCGATTCCAGTTACCGCAACAGAGCAACCAGATGGTACTGTAAAATGTCAATATACGCCCAAAGACAATGCTTTACACACAGTGCAAGTAAACTTTGGTAGTGTTGCAACGAAAAAATCACCATATAGGGTGCAAGTTAGCGATCCAATAGATCCCACTAAAGTTCAAGCTTTTGGCCCTGGTCTCGAACCCGGCGTTAAAGCTAATGTACCAACACACTTTAATGTTGATGCTCGAGAAGCTGGTGCTGCTGATTTGAAAGTTGACATTAAAAATGATGCAACAAAAGCAAACGTTCCTATTCAATTGACAGATAATGGTGATGGAACATATTCTGCCGATTATGTTGCTCCAGAACCCGGAAACTATACGGTAAATCTTACTTACGGTGGATTAAAAGTTCCACAAACACCTAAAGTTAACGTTCTTCCAAGTGTCGATGTTTCTAAAATCAGAGTTGACGGATTAGAACCAAAAGTATATACTGATTGCCCAACGGCCTTCGTTGTTGATACAAGAGCTGTAGAAAAAACTCCACAACCTGGCAAAGTACAATGTGGAATTACTGGACCAACTGGGCGTAAAGTCGATACTTTCATTGCTCCTCTTGGTGATGGAACGCATAGAGTTGGTTACACACCCTTTGAAGACGGTCCACACAACGTAGAAGTTTTCTATGATAATCTTCCTGTTAAAGGTTCACCTTTCAAGGTACAGTCAACAAGAGGCTGTGATCCCAGTAAATGTCGTGCTTATGGTCCTGGTCTTGAAAATGGAGTCGTGAATAAATCAAATATTTTCACAGTCGAAACTAAGGGCGCTGGTACTGGAGGCTTGGGATTATCCATAGAAGGTCCTTCTGAAGCAAAAATGACTTGCAAGGATAACCGCGATGGTTCCTGTTCGGTGGAATATATACCTACAGAATCCGGTGAATATGATATTAGCATCAAATTTGCAGAACAACACATACCTGGTTCACCATTCAGGGTGAATGCTGATGTTGATATTGATGCTAGCCATGTACATGCTTATGGACCAGGTTTAGAGCCTATGATGGTTAGAGCGGGAGTTCCAGTTTCATTCACCGTAGATGCTAGCAAATCTGGCCCTGCACCGCTTGGTGTAAATATTACTGCCGATCATAAACCGCTTCCAAAGAAGCCAGTCGTTAAAGACAATGGGGATGGAACATATGATGTCACATATGTTCCTCCAGCTGAGGGTGCAAATCTTCAAGCAAATGTCACGTATGCCGGTAAAGACATATCTTGTAGTCCATTTGTTATGAAGGTTCGACCATCAGTCGAACCTGAAAAGGTAGTTGTTACTGGTCCCGCAGTATCACCCAAGGGTGTACCTGCTTCTTTGCCAACAACATTTACTATCGATGCCACAAAAGCTGGCTATGGAGATTTGGAAGTACAAGTTCTTGGACCGGATGGATATCCACGCGCAGTAACCGTGACTGATAATGGAAATGGTACTTACAATGCAAACTTTGTACCGGATGACTGCGGTCGCTATAAAGCCAGCGTCAAGTATGGAGGAAAAGAGGTTCCACATTCTCCATTTAATATTCAAGCTGTGGCAACTGGACACGCTGAAAAATGTAAAATTACTGAGGGTATACAAAAAACCTTAGTTAGTGGTGAAGAATACTGCATAACTGTAAATACTGAAAATGCCGGATATGGTGCTGTAACATGTAAAATTCGTTCCACAACGGGTAATGATCTAAATATAGACATTAAAGAAAACGGCGATGGTACTGTAAGTATTTTCTATACAGTACAAGACGTTGGTGAATATACTTTGAGTGTTAAATTTGGCGGACAACCAGTTCCAGAAGGTTTCTATACATTCAAGTCAGAAGAAGCGCACGAAAAAAGTGTTGTTAAATCTTCTACTACGAAAACTTCTCAATCTCATAGTATGAGCAGAACTGAAAGTATTTCTCATTCTGAATCGGTACAAAGTTCAATGACTGAATCAATATCTCAAAAAACATCTTATAGGGCTGTACAGTTAAACAACATTCCGTTGCCCTCTACTGGCGGAACTGTCGTAGCAGAAGTGCAATTACCAAGTGGTAAAAAAGATAAACCTTTGATCATTAATAATAAAGATGGTACAGTAAGCATTAAGTATGACCCTCATGAACAGGGTCTGCATTCACTCACTGTGAAATATAATGGTGAAGATGTGCAAGGGTCTCCATTCAAATTTTATGCAGACCCAATTGCGCCAGGCTACGTAACTGCATATGGGCCAGGTCTTACGCATGGAATTAGTGGCGAGCCTGCTAATTTTACAATTTCAACAAAAGGTGCAGGACCCGGTGGACTATCTATGGCTGTTGAAGGGCCTAGCAAAGCTGAAATTAGTTGTCACGATAATAAAGATGGTACTGTTTCAGTATCTTATTTGCCCACAGCACCTGGTGAATATAAAGTTTCTGTTAGATTTGCAGACAAACATATTCGGGGTTCTCCATATGTTGCTAAAGTAACAGGAGAAGGTCGAAAACGAAACCAAATTTCTGTTGGATCATGCAGTGAAGTATCATTTCCTGGTACCATATCTGATGCTGATATAAGAGCTCTTAATGCATCTATTCAAGCTCCTAGCGGTTTAGAAGAACCCTGTTTTCTTAAACGTTTGACAACTGGAAATATTGGAATTTCTTTTACACCTCGCGAAGTAGGAGAGCACATAGTTTCAGTTAAAAAGGGAAACAAACATATTGCTAACTCTCCATTCAATATTAACGTTGGAGAGCGAGAAGTCGGTGATGCCAAGAAAGTTGTAACAAATGGTAAGGCATTGAAAGAAGGAAAAACACATCAGGAAAATACATTTACTGTTGATACCCGAAATGCGGGTTATGGAGGTTTATCTTTATCTATTGAAGGTCCTAGCAAAGCTGAGATCAATTGCAAGGACAACGATGATGGCACACTAAATATATCTTATAAACCTACTGAACCTGGATTTTATTTAGTAAATCTTAAATTTGCCGATCACCATGTTGATGGGTCACCTTTTACAGTTAAAGTCACAGGAGAAGGATCAAACAAACAACGCGAAAATATTCAACGGCAGCGAGAAGCTGTTCCTGTAACTGAAATTGGCAGTCAATGTAAGTTAACATTCAAGATGCCAGGAATTACATCTCGCGACTTAGCTTCAACAGTAACTAGTCCAAATGGAGTTACAGAATCCGCACAAATAAAAGAAGTTGAAGATGGACTATATGCAGTGAACTTTGTACCAAAGGAACTTGGCGTGCACACTGTTTGTGTAAAATACAGGGATATGCATATTCCTGGTTCTCCTTTCCAATTCACTGTTGGGCCGCTAAGAGATGCCGGTGCGCATCTTGTTAAAGCTGGAGGTTCTGGTCTTGAACGCGGTGAACAAGGTAAAATAGGAGAATTTAATGTTTGGACCCGCGAAGCAGGCGGCGGTTCTTTGGCCATTTCAATGGAAGGGCCTTCAAAGGCTGAAATTGATTTCAAAGACCGAAAAGACGGTTCATGTGATGTAGCATACAAAGTTTCTGAGCCTGGTGAATACAGGGTTGCAATTAAATTTAATGACACTCATATACCTGATTCCCCTTACAAAGTATACATTTCTCCTGCTGTTGGAGATGCGCATAAATTAGAAGTAACAAACTTCCCGACAGGCAATGTGAAGGCAGATAAACCAATGCAATTCATTGTTAAAAAGAATGGCGCTAAGGGTGATATAGATGCAAAGGTTGTTGCTCCAAGTGGCAATGAAGATGATTGCTTTATTCAACTAATTGATCAAGATCGTTACTCTGTTCGATTTATGCCGAGAGAAAATGGTATTCACAGCGTTCATGTAAAATTCAATGGTGTACACGTTACAGGTTCTCCATTTAGAATAAAAGTAGGAAATGATGAAGCTGATCCGGCAGCTGTTAGAGCATATGGAAGCGGACTCAAAAACGCGAAAACAGGAATGAAATCTGAGTTTGTAGTGGATACAATTACAGGCAATGCAGGACCAGGTACGATGGCAGTAACAGTAGATGGTCCTAGCAAGGTAACAATGGATTGCTCAGAGTCACCCGAGGGATATAAAGTAAGATATACTCCATTGCTGCCAGGTGATTATTTTGTTTCTGTCAAATACAACCAAAATCATATCGCCGGTTCGCCGTTCCGCGTGCATTGTGTTGGAGATAAATTGGCAGATACAGGATCTTCAGAATCATCTTCAGTAGTAGTAGATACGACGAAAAAGGGTCATGTGCAAAAGCAAGGTAGTTTCGATTTCCAATCGGATGCGAAGAAAGTAACATTGAAAGGTGCTGGACTTGAAAAGCCGTTCTTGAACAAACAAAACCAATTTATTGTCAATGCTGCAAAGGCTGGCAACAACATATTATATGCTGGTGTCTACGGTCCACACGGACCATGTGATGAAGTCTATATCAAGCACACTGGGAATCATCAATACACTGTCAGCTACTTGATAAAAGAACCAGGAGAGTACATGATCACTGTCAAGTGGGGAGATGAACACGTACCTGGTTCACCATTTACATTGTTCGCCTAATGGACGTATGCTCAAGACGCCCGACAATAATAAGTACTACGAAATTTAGTCATATATTTGTATAATTATCAATATTGTTAACATATTCAATGTTATTGCTATAAACAAATAAGTCAGATTTTGTCTGTCACTGCATGGGATAATTATGTTATACGAATAGAACTAAGATTTTAATTTGATATAGAACATATATCATGAAATATTTTATATTTAATATATTTTTACTCGTCTGTTGCATATTTGCAAAGTGGCAGATATTTATATTTATATGCTATTGTTAAAAAAGTTATTTAAATGAGATTTTTTAAAGTAATGAAAAATTTTAAGCAGTGACCTTACTACTGTCAATTTCAATGTTATTATAAGTGCTATTATTCTAGATATTTGTAATATTATATAAATATATTTTTACTCGTAAAATTTTTTAAATTGCAGTTACGTGAAATCTACAATAAGTGAATTAGTTTTAAGAATTTGTTTTTATATGTTTTAGTTACATATTAAATTTTACATATACATGTTTTCGAATAAAAATTTTATAAAATGTGTGTTATAAATAAAAATAAAGGTCTTGCAATATTTACGTTTATTATTTCTCACTTTTTAAGGATATAATTTTTACGTCAATGCAATTCTCATAATAATAAATTTATGATAAAGTTGAACAATCAACTGAGAGATAATAATATTCATTGCTTGCTCAGTTCTCGAAACTGTTCAGGCTTTATATTTTGAGAAGAAACAGAAACTGTACAAGTCAAATGAAAGTCTGGAGAACTACGGAAAAGTCGCATTTCGAATCGTTTACTTCAAGAACTTCTCTACAATTTTTCTATGTAAAAATAATAAAGTATATTTTATTTTATGCATAAGAATTGATAAATGCACATGACATATAATATACATACATACATACAAAATACTTACACATATATATTATTAAAATGATATATACATTTCCATCATGATTATTATACTTCAATTATATTGAACAAACCTACAGATGAGAAGGGAAGTGTTTGATCGCAAAATATGTATGTGTATATATGTATATATGTATATATACTTGTTGAATTATGGATTCTCTCCGCAATATTGTCTCAGGAGACTTGGTTTGGTCGTAGTTTCTATAAATTTGATCGAGATTCCTGTGGCGTTGAACTAAATAAAACAAACTTCTGTGGCTAATATTTGACATTTATACTTGTATACGAACTACAACAATTTATGCAATTAGAGATGTGCTTTGAATTCAATTATTTAATATATATATCGATAATAACCTTTATGAAGATGTTACATAAGGCTTACAAGAAATATTCGAAAAGAAAGAATAACCAAATTGGAATTATGGAACAATATTACGAAAGTTTTGTAGTTCAATTCTTATATACAAATTTTATTTATTTCACACGAATTTATCTAATATCAATTATTTCACCAAAACAAATATATATTTTTTATAACGAACTATTCATAATAAAAAGAACTATATTATACATTCTAAAATATATCATATTTCACATGCACACGCCTACGTTATCCAATTTTTCCGTTAAACGATTCAGAATGACTTGAACTATCTAGAAAACAAAATTAGCAACTCATATTTTTCGTGAAGCTTTTTCGAAAAGTTAAAAACTATTCCGTTAGTGTTTATGCAATATTTTTTGGATTAATTCACTGGTAATGAAATGAAAAGAGGATATAAATAAAAATTATGAAAAAATACCAATTACATGTCAATTATTCTGCCACCATCAGACTTATTGATAAGTAAATATTGTATATTATAAAATAAGTATTATGATAATAGTAATATTATCAAAAATCATAATACTTTAAATTAAAGTATTGTTTTCACATTCAGATAAAAATTATTAATAATTATTATTTAATATTTAAAAAAAATCTAATATATTCCAACAAAAACCTCTAACAGAGTTTTCAAAAAATTTCGAAAATTTAAAAAACACTGTTTTTGAGAGAATATTTATTATATCTTCAAAAAGTGTATTTTTATTTAACATGTTTATATGCACTAGCAAAAATCGTGTCATTTTTAGATTTCTATTTTTTTACTCGAATTTTTACAATAATAAAATTATCATGTGTTTTACCATTTTACAATCCTAATTGAATGCGCCAACTTTTGATGGAACTTGTTAACACACTTTAGTATATGTTTTTTATGGAGGGTCTCTCAAAGTCAACCAATTTTAAAAATTTTAAATTAGCATTTTAACAAAAAGTCTTAATTGTTGAAAACTTTGAGGCAATTGTGTTGTTGTTTTTGATTGTGGTCTTGGAAGTGTTCCTTACGGTTACGGTTCCAAAGTTTAAATAAACAAAATTAGTAAAAATTAATCACAATAAACGAAAATTAGTTATTTCATCGAAGCTCGAGGTTGCACTTAAAAGCTTACAATTTCCAAACAATGGGAATTTTTTTTTCTAATTTTTTCAGGATGGTTCAGGTCAATACTATCACCCGGTTCGGGTTTGACGTCGTATATATATATATATATATATATATATATATATATATACTTAAAACGTATGCATGCATATATTTTTGCATATACATATATATGTTTTTGCAATTTTAATAACCTTTCCTGTGGGAAGTCAATAAAATTCTCATTGTTTATGGAATATTTGAAAAGCAATCTAAAATAATTCTCTACCAATCCCTAGAGAAAATAAATGTGGCGTAAATAAGTTAAATAAATAAACAGTTGTGTATTTAAGTTCCTTTCTCGAATCTGCATAATCGACTTTGAGAGCGCTGCAACAAGTTTGCCCTGAAAGATCATTGTTGAAGCTTTTGCTAAAACGGCACATGGGAAGCAATCAGGTTTTTCGCCGTACACATATTTAGCAGCACTCTCAAAGGATTATTTTTTATTCATAGATCTGGCGTTTCCGAGACCGACATGAAATTGCTTTTGGAATTCTGCTTCATAGGCAACAGGCAATATATTGTATGAACTTATTGATTTGCAGTTGTACATAGAATTTTTCGAAAAGAAATTCTATTTTGTATAAAATTTTAATTCAGATTCTGAAATGAAAATTGGCCGGAAATTATTACTTTCTACATAAGAGTGATTTGAAAAATAGTGGGAAAAGCCGAATTATGAATGAAATTCAATAAGTAATAAATAATTTAAATTAGAAAAAAAAGAGGCAAATCTCCGGTAAAACATTGTGGGAACGCTATGTTTCCCTCCTTTCCCATATAAAATGATAGTAAAACGTCAAAAGAAAATCTTATCATAACTGCATCTTCATTACGTGCATATATTACCCATAACTGAACATAGGGTATGTTAATTTGCCATAATAACTCTGTTATGGTCTATTTTACTGGCGAATTGGCTTCTAAATCTCATTAATGACCACATGGTAATGCGTTGGCAAAATTTATCCAAACATATTAGTCTAAAGTTCTTAGATATTCTGAAAAAGTGTAAAATTGAAAAGAGTACACCTACTTGTTATGTACGTATTTGAATAAATATGTAAAATTTTCGTTTTCAATACGCCGAATTAAAAAAAAGCAATTATTTGTTTTTACGTTTTGATACTAGATGTGCGTTATATCATGCAGTTAAAATAATACAAAATATTGCATAAAAACAGTAACAACAAAGTACTGTATGAATAGAAAAAAAATAATACACTGTAATGATTTATGTATAAATAAAAAACTTTGAATTATAAAAAAGGAACACAAAATACTATCACATTTTTTGTTTTTAAATAAACAACCCTGTATAACAAATTTGGATGAATTAAGTAATTTACAAAAATTTAAATTAAATGCATAGTTGAAAGAGTAAATTTGACCTTAGCAAAAAATAATTTCAAAAACTGTCGGATGTTTGAAAATAATCGATTAATCAAAAAAATTGATATTTAGCAACATTTATAAAAATGATGACAAAATTATTCCAAATTTTGGTAGATGTTTATGTTCAGACCACTTTTTGTAGGCTTGGAATATTTTAGGGTGTTCGTTAAAACTATATACTGTATTATATGAAGTTTCATCGATATCGCAAAAAAGAAGTACAAAGAAACGGCCGATCTTTGCCAAGAGCTAACCAGCTCGAACCCCTGGTGATACCTCTGGATTAGTTTTTAAAATTTTAAAATTTTAAAATCAATTCAGGATTTTGGACATTGGTGGGAACGTAAATTGAATGTATTGCACATTTTTGCTAATCTAGAAGAAACGGCATCGCCGGTTGTCTCGCAAAACCAACCCAAGTGAGACTAGTTTTGGTTTTAATTTTTTTGAAATCTGTACAGCCGTTTTTTGTAAAAAACGAAAATTGTGGCTTACATACACATATTTACATATTCTTTCCAATTCAGGTGTCAAATAACTCATAATGACTTGAAACTTCGAGATAATCGGCAAATCGGATATTCTGGCAAAAACAAACCTTGCTTTCGGGAAGTTAATAAATGTTTATCTTATCGATTTTCAAAAATTTGACTCTGAAATATATTATAAAAATGATACATATATATATATATATATATATATATATATATATATATATATATAATTGTATTCTTTCTATTAACTATGTTTCGTAATTTTCTGTAAATTTTAATTAAATCTGTAAGCAGAGCTTAGATAAATGGTTATATGATTACGACTCTTTTTACTAAATACAATTTTTTTAATTAATACGGGTTTAGTAATTAGAAGCTTCTAAAGTGTGATAAAAAAATAATAGCATACGTCGACGAAAGTAGGTTAGAGCTTTTTGCACGCTACGATTAATTAAAGTGTCAGCTAATTTGTTTAAACAAACGTGTGATTATATTTTCTTTGATAAGCGTTCACTATTTGCCATGTCTTTTATATCTAATGATCGTATTCATTGTTCTGACTGTATTTAATTTCTTATCGTTGATCAATAGTTTGTTAATCATGGTTTTTTTATTTCAGATCTTTCGTGCTCAGATATAAAACAGGTAATAAGGTAAGAATTTTATATTGTTTTACAAAAAAATGTTTTTTACCTGTTTGTTTTTTTGAGCGAATATGGTTGTGTTGTTCTATATGCGTAGCAGACAGATAAGACAAATTACTGAGCATCAATTTGCTACTATAATATATATTGAAATTTTGTTCAAAACCAGGAATTATTAAATATCATATACGATTTTGATTTTAATGCAAATCATATAAATAATTGGTTTCATTTATTTCAATGAATGAGCCAGTTTTAGTCTTACTTTAGTTAATTTAGTAAATCTTTTTTGCGGCAACTTCTATCAGCTTCGTCTTGTTTTTACATATCACTCCTAAATTACGTTTGTTAAAAATTTAAATATGATTTTTGGCTACAAAAATGATTGTAATTGTAGAACATCAAAAAGATAGATAAATGAGCTTACAGAAAAAATGACAAAC